TTCAGGCAGGAGCATTTAGGGATATTCTCTGCAGTACTGGGCCTGGAATGGGAATGGTGGACTGAAGCTAATCCTTTTGTTTAGCCTTGGAAAACTTCCTGTCTGGATCAGCACCCTGCCAAGTACTCAAGTAGGTACAGGAGAAGAGGGGGCAGATTTTCTCCGCTCATTCTTGCAATCTTTTCAGCTATCTGCCCATGGATCCCACAGCTCCTCTGGGAAGTGCCTTTATAAGTAGCAAATCAACTGAATTTCATTGGACTTGGCTCACTTCTCCCCACACCCCTCATCTCTCTCACCTTTCACCTCCTCAAAAAGGCACTGGTTATGTTCACACAAGAAGTCACTTGTGAGGCAGACCCCAGAAATCTGCAAAACTGGTTTTTTATGATGAAATGGGGAGTGTACTTCAACTCATTTTTCTAAATGTCAGGAGCAATCCTGTGCTTCTGTATACAACTTGTTAAAGCACCTTTCTCCTGTTTCCCAAAGCCTTCCTCTGCTGCTGCCAGGGTCATACATGCCCTGGAGAGAGGTTATATTCAGTCATAAGCTTAGGAACTGAAGCCAAGGCTGCTTTCTAAGCTCTCCTGGTGCAACCAGGGAGTCAGCCGATAGGAGAGACCAAGGGGAATCTCATGTGCCTGCACCTGGTCTCACAATTACAGCTCTTCTTCTTCCCAGGGCCATGCAAGCATAATGATGGGAATGCGTTATTAAATTCTAGTAGAACGCATATTCCAGCTTCACTGGGACTGTTCTGAAAGCAGGCACATCAGAGAGGGTCCTCTCCAAGAGTCCCGAACAATTGTGTTCTGTTCTTGCCTTGGGGCAGGGGAGCTGACTTGCCCAATACTGTCCCGTTTGCTCCACTTTTAAAAGCACCTCGCTGTATCCAATACCAAAAAAAATCCTTGTGAATTCTCAGACGCTATTAGTAATACAAGAAACTAAAGACTTCCCACACTTGCCAGTTTAAAAAAATTAAGACAATATAATTCAAAAGACTTTCCCTACTCCCTTAGTGCTCTGATTTTTGTTCTTATCCACAGAAATATTTACTCACCATTGCAGCTGATGAAAGTCATCACAAACACCACTATTTGCCCAACTTCTCCCATTCTCTCAGAACTGCAGGTCTGTCGTCGTTTCCCTGAGACCCCCACCCTCCCGGGACCAGACTGCAAGTGAAGAACACTTCCCTTTCTTCTGTCCTTTATCGTCTAGGATCCTCTTTCTGAAACATCACGAGTCCATTTCACTGCTGAGTTAGGTGATGGAAAAATGAAGGAGGAAAGCTGTATGGATCTCTCCAGTCCCATTCCCTGTCTCCATCCACTTCTCTTGAGGTAGCCCAGGTCACAGTTGGCTTTCTGGGCTGCAAGTGCCCATTGCCGGGTCATGTTGAACATCACAGACTACCTAAGCACAAGTATCTACTGCAATAGTCCAGTTCATGGGCAAAACTCATCATGTTTCATGCTCTGCAAGCTCACGTCGTGTTTGCCAAGGGGGTGACTTTTGACTGGCGGCCAAGGGACTTTAATCCAGGGGCCATTCTGAGTGTGCTCTGTAGAGCACGTTTAAAAGTACTCCAAGATTTGCCAATAGGTGTGATGCACAGGATTAATCTCAGTTTGCTAATTACTACCAAAAGGAGAAGGACTTACAGTTGATAAGAATCATGTATAAAAGCAAATCTACTGACCTAATGAATTCTGTTATAGGTGTTTAATCGGTCATTAGAGCAACCTCTGGAATTTTATTCAATAGCCATGACTTAGCATGAGGTTCTGACAACTGCACCAGGAGAACAGTATCTTTGAGCAGGAGGTAAACGTGTCTAAAGGACAGAGAGACATTTTCTGCCGGAGCTGGGAAGGGAAGGTAAATGAGGTAGTTTTGCCACAGCCTTGTCCCATCACAACAGATACCTGTTTGCTTGGCCTGAAGCAGTTACCTTGCATCTGAGCTCAGACCGTCTCTGGAAGTGCTGCTGTATGTCAGTGATGGCTTGTTCCCTCTCTGTTAGGGCAATGAGAGCTGGAGGTTATCTTCATTTTCCCAAACTCAGTAAGCTGATGAGAACTGTACGGATCTCATTTCAGTCCCAGGTGGAGGCATACCCACCCAGGGAGCACTTGCCCAGTGACTGGGGCTGAACCCTGCTGATTGCTGCGGTGGAACTTGCCTGGGGTGAGCAGAGGCATTTGGAGCAAAAAGCTGAATATGGTGTGGCAAGACCTGGTGCAACAAATTCATCCAAAGCTCCAGGCTGAGAATCACCACCTGCTGCCATCCAGCCAAGGAAGACGACAGAGGCAGCAACACCCATTCTTGCAGAGCAAGTCTATGTAAAACCTTGAAACTTGATTTTTGCTGACTTTTCTTGATGTCTTTGCTGCAACTACCAGTGTGGTATCAGCACACGTGGCTTCTATCTGTCTGCTCATGCTGGTCCCGAGGAGCCTTTAGTGATGTTTGAGTCCTACCTAAAAGCAAACAAGCAGACAAAAAAAGTACTTGTTAAAATTCAAGCTATGTCAGTCAAAGAGGGAATATGAATCTATTTTCATAGAGATGATTTAAAACAAACCTTTTCCACATGCTGGATATGACAGAGAAACAGTCTTCTACACAAAAAACTTTAAAAGAAACTGGATTTTGGGGAACATGCCCTGGAACAAGTTGAAAACCCAAGCTAAAACTGCTGATAGGACTAATTTCTGAACCGGACATGCAAGACTTCCTGAGGCTGTAATTATGCAGGATAAAAAAAAAAAAAGACTATTTAACTATACTAGACATGAAGTACTGCAGTTCCTCAAATGTGATGAACATGACATCTTTCTCTCCCTGGACAGAGACGTAGCTGCTAGTCTTCCCCCTGAGTCACACAGTCAGCCCATTTCTTCCTTACCAGAGGGACTCCTTATAATTTTGAATCTGAACATATGAAGAAAAAGCCTTCAATGTCTCAGACATTATAGCCAGCTACCTGGTTTATTAAAATGCAGTATTTTCTTTCAGTGTGTCTGTTCTGGGTTGAACCTGCTGCTCTCTTGCACGCAGTGCCACGGATAAGGCACCCTGTCCCCCAGGCATCCACCTTACTCCCAACACACAGGAGGCCAGAACACTCTTCCAAGCATCATTTCTTCAGGTATCACAGTTCAGGCACTCTTTGTAATTTTTGCGACTTTGTCTCAGGCTAATTAGAGGTGGCACAGTGAAGTCCTTGTGTCTCCAAACTTGAGCACAGATGGGCTCTCAGACTCTGCTTGTAGGGACCAGCTCTGCTGAGCCTGCATCTTACTCTCAGGTTCTGACAAAGTCTGCCAGAAGCTAGAGGAGTTTGCTACCATTTTTCCA